AAAAAAAATACACAAAGTATGTTTGGGGGTGTGGCGATCGTGTGGCAGTGGGTTCCCTTTAGCCGTTGATATATCCAACACGTGGGAAATATTTGTATGTGTTATGTATATGTCTGTATAGGGAATTTTACTGCGATCACTGTCATACAAATTATAAAATGTTTCAACAAGTATAAACATGACAAACATCAAACGAACGAAAACAATCCGTTCGTTTCTGCCGCGAACGCATACTGAGTGACGTGGTTCTATATTTGGCGCTTCTCTTACACATGCTTTGTACAAATGTTATACAGTTCATCTTATAGAAAATTTTATTGCGAACACATTGGTATAAAAAGAAATACGTACATAGAAAAGTAGGGTCAGGAAACGTATAAACTTTCCAAGCATGATTTCCCCCCTGTGTTTTCGCCAGTGCGCTCGCGGCTAACTACTCTCCACTTCACACACTCTTGCGGGTGGGCAATTACCTATATTAAACATTCATATGCATATGTCCGTGTAGAGAATTTAATTGCGATTCCAATGATACCAAAATTAGCGATGTAGGACAACTGTAGGCTTCGCAACCATTAAGAGAGTGGAAACATTTTGTTGCTGTTTGGCGCTCTCGGCGAGTGATCTGCATAGTTTTTTATTTGGTGTTGATACTCCTTATGCTTGGGCGGCATTTTATGGGTATGCTCTTATAGACAATTTCATTGCGAACACAGTGATACCAAATTTAAATACGTGCGCCTGCAATTATTGTCAGGACAGTCAAAAGAGTGTACACTTTTCGGTCTTACCGCGTAGGCGCGCGAAGTGCCGAAAGCATCTGGGGTATTGTTTTTTTTTGAGCGCCGAGAGCGCGAAAGTGTTATTATAATAGAGCAGCAACAGCTTCTGTCGCTAGCAGGAACGGATCCAGACTACTAATCATGGGAGACTTCAACCACGGGAAGATAGATTGGGAGAACAGAGACCCACATGGCGGATCAGACACATGGAGAGCTAAGCTGCTGGACATGGCAACACGAAACTTTCTAAGCCAACACATCAAGGTACCGACAAGAATGAGAGGAGAGGATGACCCAGCTATTCTTGATCTGATATTTACCCTAAACGAGTCAGATATAAGGGAAGTTAAGTTGGAAGCCTCCTTGGGAATGAGTGATCACAGTGTATTGATCTTTGAGTGCCTGGTAAAGCTAGGATTTATTTCTCCACAAAAAAAAGAACCAGGAAACAAAGGGCTGGCGTACCGAAAGGGAAATTATGAGGAGATGAGAAAATTCCTAAGGGATATACCATGAGAGACAGAACTCAGAACTAAGTCTGTACACAACATAATAGACTATGTCACCAAAAAGTGTCAGGAGGCAATAAACAGGTTTATCCCGGCTCAAAGGGAAAAAAACAAGAAGCAAAAGAAAAATCTGTGGTTTAATAGGGCATGTATGGAAGCAAAGGGGTGGAGGAACTTCCGAAATAACAGAACACCTGAAAGCAGAGATATACCAGGAATGAGTATGTTAGTGAGAGAAGAGAAGCTGAGAAAAAGTATGAAAATGATATAACTAATAAAGCCAATACCAAACCAAAGCTACTCCACAACCACATCATGAGGAAAACAACAGTGAAGGAACAGGTGATGAAACTTAGAACGGGTGAGGACAGGTACACAGAAAATGAGAGAGAGGTGTGTGAAGAATTCAACAAGAGGTTCCAGGAGGTCTTCAAAATAAAACAAGGTGAGGTCACTGCACTAGGAGAGGTGGCAGTGAACCAGGCGGTCATGGAATCTCTTGACCTCATCTCTTACAAGAGATGAGGTCAAGAGGTACCTGTTGGATCTAGACGTGAGAAAGGCTGTTGGCCCAGACAGAATCTCACCATGGGTATTAAAAAGAGTGTGCAGAAGCACTTTGCTTGCCACTCTCCACAGTGTATAGTAGGTCACTGGAGACAGGAGAGCTACCAGAAATATGGAAGATGGCTAATGTAGTCCCAATATATAAAAAGGATGACAGACAAGAAGCACTAAACTACAGGCCAGTGTCCCTAACTTGTATACCATGCAAGGTGATGGAAAAGATCGTGAGAAAAAACCTAGTAACATATCTGGAGAGAAGGGACTTTGTGACAACCCATCATCATGGGTTCAGGGAGGGTAAATCTTGCCTTACAGGCTTAATAGAATTCTACAACCAGGTGACAAAGATTAAGCAAGAAAGAGAAGGATGGGCAGACTGCATTTTCTTAGACTGTCAGAAAGCCTTTGACACAGAACCCCATAAGAGGCTGATGAATAAGCTGGAAAAACAGGCAGGAGTAACTGATAGGGTGCTCCAGTTGGTAAGGGAGTACCTAAGCAATAGGAAGCAGAGAGTTACAGTGAGAGGTGACACCTCAGATTGGCGTGAAGTCACCAGTGGGATCCCACAGGGCTCTGTACTCGGACCTATCCTGTTTCTGATATACGTAAATGATCTCCCAGAGGGTATAGACTCATTCCTCTCAATGTTTGCTGATGACACCGAAATTATGAGAAGGATTAAGACAGAGGAGGACATCTTCAGGCTTCAAGAAGACCTGGATAAGCTGCAGGAATGGTCAAACAAGTGGTTGTTAGAGTTTAACCCGAGCAAATGTAATGTAATGAAGATAGGTGTAGGGAGCAGGAGACCAGATACAAGGTAGCATTTGGAAGATGAAATACTTCGAGTCAAAGAGAGAGAAAGACCTAGGGGTTATATCACTCCAGACCTGTCCCGTGAAGCCCATATCAAGAGGATAACTTCAGTGGCACATGCCCAGTTGGCCAACATAAGAACGGCCTTTAGAAATTTGTGTAAGGAATCATTCAGAACTTTGTATACCTGTACCACATATGTTAGACCAATCCTAGAGTATGAAGCTCCAGCATGGAGTCCATATCTAGTCAAGCATAAGACTAAGCTGGAAAAGATTCAAAGATTTGCCACCAGACTTGTACCCGAACTGAGGGGTAAGAGCTACGAGAAGAGACAACAGGAATTAAACCTCACGTCACTGGGAGACAGATGAGTTAGGGGGGACATGATCACCACATACAAGATTCTCAAAGGAATTGATAGAGTAGATAAAGACAGACTATACCAGGAGCACACACACTAGGGAACACAAGTGGAAATTGAGTGCCCAAATGAGCCATAGAGACATAAGAAATAATTTTTTCAGTGTCAGAGTAGTAGACAAATGGAATGCATTAGGAAATGATGTGGTGGAGACTGACTCTATACACAGTCTCAAGTGTAGATATGATAGAGCTCAGTAGGCTCAGGAACCTGTACACCAGTTGATTGACAGTTGAGAGGAGGGCCAAAGAGCCAGAGCTCAACCCCCGCAAGCACAACTAGGTAAGTACACACGTGGTTTTCAATCTGGAAGATCCTGTGTATTGAATTTACTGAGTTTCTATGTTCGAGCCACAGAGATTTTACAGGAAAGGGGTGGTTGGGTTGACTGCATTTATCTGGACCTAAAAAAGGCTTTCGACAGAGTTCCACATAAGAGGTTGTTCTGGAAACTAGAACACATTGGAGGGGTGACAGGTAAGCTGCTAACATGGATGAAAAATTTTCTGACATTGAAAAATGAGGGCAGTAACAAGAGATATGTAACGGACTGCAGAAATGTCACAAGCAGTCAGATTAATTAAAAAGATTAACACTTTCTCCACTCAAGTGGCGTGTGAGCGCGTCACTAAGTTTTGTGCAGGTTCCACAAAGCTGACTCTGACGGGAGTCACGAGAATAAATATTTGTATAAATTCCAATTTCGATCCGATCTACTTGGGAATAGTTTAGAAATGTTTGCCATGAAATTTACGTTCCCTCTAACAGCCGAAGAGCTTATTTGAGAGGACGGCATGGCAGTGAATCATCGTGGTAAAACTATTGTAGTATTGACACGACAAGTATGATCGACGTAGTTTTTATATTTGTTGCCGGTCGAACGCATCCTTATGTGACGTTTTATACTGTACTTATGTTCTTCTAGAACATTCTATTGCGAACACATTGGTACAAAAATAAAATACGTACATCGAAAAATAATGTCAGAACAGTGAATTGAATATACACTTTTCAATGCGAGTTTCGCCGATATGCCGCCGCGGGTAACACTTCGGACACTTCCCACACTCCTGTGGGTCGGTTGTGACATTGATTCTATATTTATATGCATATGTCCGTGTAGATAATTTTATTGCGATTTCAGTGATACCAAAATTAACCCTGTAGGACAAGTGTGGAGTTGACAACCCTGATGATAGTAGAAACATTTCGTTGCTGTCTGGCGCTCACGGCTAGTCATCGACGTAGTTTTTTATTTGGTGCTGATCTAACTTATGTTTTGGTGACATTTTATACTTATGTTCTTCCAGAACATTCTATTGCGAGCACATCGGTACCAAAATGAAATATGTACATCGAAAATTAACGTCAGGACAGTCAAAAGAGTATACACTTTTAAATGTTGCCGCTCGATCGCCGAGACGCTCATTTCACTTGGGCAAAGTTTTTTTCAAACGCCGTTTTGCGAAAGTGTTAATCAGGTGAATAATTAGGTCTTTGGGATAGGAGCTGCCTCGTATGGGCCAATAGGCCTTCTGCAATTACCTTTTTTCTTATGTTCTTATGAGCTTCGTCCCCCATTTATCCCCTATGTATCCCCCTTGTTTTTACCTTTATCACCTGACCTCGTACGGGTATAAATCAACGAGTTCTGTAATTTCTATTCGCTTGAGAATGAACCATGGAGGTTCGAAACGTTGTGCAAATTGTATAAATAAGTGTAATACATTCTATAGTAATTCACTTTTTTCTTCATCTTGAAATAGCGAAAATGAGTTTTGGAAAACTGTGTTTTAATATGGCATGCACAAGGTGTGTGATGTCACTACTAACTCATAATTTTATTCTGGTTCAGGTTTTAGATTCTACCGAATCCAAGACCTATTTACATGAACTTACCCTATGCCGGTGTTTCTTATGATGCACCCTTTCTCTATCTCTTTCCTTGTGCTTCTTTTTCTTGTGATGGTGATGGTGGTGGTGATCCCTATGGTGGTGGTGGTGATGGTGATCACTTGTATCCAATGGGCCTGATTCTGCACTGCATAAAGGTGGTTCTGTAAGAAAAAATACAAGTAAATTAATAAAAACTTCATAATAAAAAAAATACAGTACAAAAGCCTGACACACTACTCAATAAAATTGTTGCTCAAACATCCTGCCCTGCCCAGGGAGTGAATGCAGACCAAATCATCTGTGAGCCCGGCCAGACTGGGCTCGGGGAGTTTAAGAACTCCAAGAACCATCTCCAGGTATGCTCCAGGTATGAGCAGCATTTCTGGTGATTTCAAAATCAGTGAGACTATTGCTGGCAGCTGCCTGCATAACTACCACAACCCGGCTGATTCTACACTTCCTGCAGAAGCCCAAGTCTATTGTACTCTTCAGACCATTTCTCGCCATCCAGCTAGTTATTTTATTGTGCACATTCAGGCATGTAAATTATGGGATCTCTCTCTCGTTTCCATTTCACCATATAATTTTTCTTTCTGCTAATAAGTTTGCTTTGTAATGTTCAGTAATTTTTTAAATTAAGAAAACTAAATGGCTACCGGAACTCAAAGACAAGCGCTACGATGAGAGTTAAGAGGCATAAATACAGTATGCCATAACTAGAAGATAATAAGAAAAAGAGGCGATATGATCATTACATACAAAATAGTAAAGGGAGTCGACAAAATTGATTATGAAGAACTCCCGAGACCTAGAACTTCATGGACAAGAGCTTCATGATTAAAGCAAACTAAACAAAGCTGCTAAAGAAATATAAGAAAATTCCTTTTCACAGAGTGGTGGACAGTTGGAACAAGTGAGGTGTTGGAGGCCAAAACCTTCAGTAGCTCTAAAGCATTATATGACAAGAGTGCTGGGAAGTTGTAGCAAATCTACATAGCTGCTGGGAACATAAACTTAACTCTCATCCTGTAACTACACTTAGGTAATTACTAAATCAAAGGTAGTCAGATATTATTCCTAGATCTTACACGTGTTATTTTCATTCTATGAAATCTGAATATAACTTGCATTCTGTATCCTTTCTGTCAGTGTCCGTCAGTCAGGAAGAGATTCAGCTAGCCTCAAAGAGTGTCCGTCAGTTAGGAAGAGATTCAGGTATTCTTGAAAATATCTATGGAAAACACCACCATGGAAGCCGCTAACACTGTTCATCTATGCTACTTTTATCAGATGCATCATCACTGAATGCAGAAAACGATTCATCTATGTATCATCTAAATAAATTGGAGATAGCATAGGATTGCAAGGGTGACGCTCAGAGCTACAACTGGATACGCTCGCTGTATCGTCCTCATAGGTGCTGTATCACTTGCATCCGACCTTTATCTTTCAATACCAGGTTGGACAGCTGTTTGGGAGCCAGAGGCACAGGTGCCACCCATGGTTGCTCATTCAGTACTAACCCAGCCAGCAGCCCTAGGGCATTCTGGGAATTTTTTCCAAGATGGCTGCCTCTCACTGGAGGTCCTAAGAGTCCATTTCGTACACAACCAACCTCTCACACATTTAGAATGGGTACGGAAAAATCAACGCGAGTTTTCTCGGTTGGCGCAGCTTCCCGCCGACCGAGAATACTCGGCTGGCGCAGTTAAGTGGTTAGTGCATGAAGCATTTGGAAACACACTGCACTTAAGACCGTGGGAAGTTGCCCAAGGGTTACCGTTACCACACGCCCAACCACACATTGGCTACACCACTACTGAAAAGTTTATACTCTTTTTATGTTTCTGACCTTCATTTTCGTTGTAGGTGTTTTATTTTGGTATCAATGTGTTAATGAAATGTTCTAGAAGAACATATGTATTACATGTCACCAAAGCTAACGTGATGCTGGCACCAAATAAAAAACCAAGTCGTTTATTAGCCGTTCACGCCAAACAGCGCGAACATGTTACTACTCTTTTCAGGTTTATCAAGTCCAAACTTGTTCAATATCGTTCTTTTTTGTATCACTGTGATCACAATAATATTTCCTACACAGACATATGCATATAAATTAGACAAGATGGGCGCGCCTCACCCTCAACGACCCCTAAAGTCGTCGAAGCCTTACCTGCTAGAGCACACTCATTGCCACACCCGCTACACCCAATACACAAGACAAACACATACATTTTGCTAACAAGTTTTTGTGCAACATTGTTCATTGTGGTATCAAATTATTCGCAATAAAATGCCCTAAATAGAAAGACAAATATAAGCAATAACAACCACAATATATATACAGAGCACCACTTGGTTCCCGAACTTTAGTTATCAGAAACTTCCTTTTTCCCAATTGGGGTTGGGGAGTTACAATTTAATCTTCCTACACGAACTAAGTTCGGGTAGAAAGTAGTCCGCCAAGCTTCACGCCGGCCGGGGTTGGGGTTACCCTACATGAACCAAGTTCGGGTGAGGAAGCGGACTGCCAAGCGTCGTGCCGGCCCGTGGTGGTTTGATGGTTTAGTTTGCCCATTGACCGTGTCGGGCGCCGCCTGCTACCCTGTGACGTCACAGATTCACGGCCTATTGTTCCCATTGTTTGAATTTGTCACGAGACTGAAGTGTTCATTCCGTGACTTTGTTTTACATATCGGCACAATCAAGGAACATCCGTGCACCATATCGACTCCAAATGCACGCATTGTGTCAGTGAAAGCATCTACAAGCGGGTTACTAAAAGAAAGAGGTTAGTGATGACATTTGGGAAGAAAGTTGAAATAATTAAGAAAGTGGAGAGTGGTGTCCCTAGAAGTGTCGTGTGCACTGAATATGGCACTAGTAAAAGTACTGTTTTTTATCTTCTTAAGGGTAAACCTATCATTTTTTTACTATTTCTCTAGAAGTGAAAGTGATAAGGCAATATGAAATAGAAAGGTAGTAAGTAAAGCAAAAGTGGAGTGTTGATAACGCAGTGTGGGAGTGGTACAAACAGAGACGTGAGGTGACGAAGCCAGTGGCAGGCTGGCTGCTCGTGGAAAAGGCGCGTGAATTTCACCAAGCAATGAAAATTACTCAAAAGTATGTATACAGTGATGGATGACTCAGAAGCTTTAAAACCCGTCATGGCATTAGGTTCATTAAAGTGCATGGTGAAAGACAATCTGCTGATATTGTTGGTGCTGATGAGTATGTAAGTAAATTTGAAGAGATGGTACAGTAACAAAATTTATCTCCAGAGCAAATTTATAATGCTGATGAGACAGGTTTGTACTGGCGTATGCTTCCCACAGACACGATGGCTCATAGTGATGAGGACGATCCTTCAGGTGGTTATAACAGAACAAACAGAGAATTTCTTTGTTGTGCTGTGCAAATACAGCTGGCATGCACAAATTAAAATTACTTGTGAATGGAATTAGTAAAAACCCCAGGGCTTTAAAGTCAGCCAGATGCCTCCCTGTGATTTATAAGGACAAGCCAAGTGCGTGGATGTCTCGAGTAATATTTGTCGAGTGGTTTAATAAGAACTTTGTACCCGAGGTGAAGGAGCACCTAAAAAGTGTTGGTCTCCTGCAAAACAGCAAAGTTGTGCTGCTGCTAGATAACAGTTCAACGCATCCATGAGGTGATGAGCTTGTAAATGGCAATATTATTGGAACATTCTTGCCACCCAATAAAACTTCAGTGATCCAACCCATAGATCAAGGAATAATTAAGAACCTTAAACACCACTACAAGAGGAAGTTTGCCAGATGTCTTAATAATCAGCTTGGAACAATTAAGGACTTTTATAAAGTCTTCACAATAAAGTCAGCTATCTGGACTATTGCTAGTGCATGGGATGAGGTAAAGCAGACAACACTAAGAAATGGTTGGAAAAAACTTTGGCCCACGTCAAGTCTGTTTCCTGAGGAAGATGACGAGGCAGATTTTGAAGGATTTGCGGTGAAGAAAGTTAGCAAGAGGAAAAAATTAAGAGAGGAACTCCTAGCCTATGTCAAGGGGATTAAGTCCCCTGAGCTGAGAGCAGAACTGGTGACTGAAACAATAGAAGATGACATAGATAGATGGATAGATTTTGAAGAAGCAGCCCCAAACAATTGAAACATGACTGATGATGAAATTACAGAATTAGTAAGTACAGCAAAAAAGCCAGAAGAGTGCAATGAAGATGGAGAGGAAGAGGATGAAGAAACATTAAAGGAAAAATGTAATATGGAAAAAATTCAGACAAATTTTGAAGACATTCTGGCATTTATGGACACAAGTAACAGCAAGTTTGAAATTAAGGACATGATGACTCAGTACAATTTGTATATGAAGTTTTTAAAAACAAGAGCCAAGGGAATGAAACAAATGTCAATTACAGAGTCTTTTGCAATGGCTTCCAAGAAAGCTCGCATTGCATCACCTGCACCTGACTCATCGCATGTTGACCCAGTCAACCCAACACCATCAGCATCCACCACTACCTCTTCCATGTAAATAACTATGCTTCATCAACATCGATCATCAACATAAGCGGATCAGGACTTCAATTATTGGTGAGTACAAACAAAATATGGTCGCATTTACACTACAGTATGTACCTGTCGATTTTTTCCCCCTATAGTTTTTCATAAATTTTTATATTTTTTTCCTCCATTTCTCGTATACGAACTTACGTGTTAACCGACGGGTCTCGTCCCCAAGGGGTTCGGAAACCAAGTGGTGCTCTGTATAAGCAATACCAATAACAAAGTATAAAGACTATAGTTGGCAAAGTTACCCGTGAGCGCACAAAATCAGTAAAATGTATATACTCGTTTCAGTTTTCTCACCTTATTTCTCGTGCTACATCGTTCGTTTTGGTATCATTGTGTTCGCAATAGAATTCTCTATAGGGGTATATGCATATAAGGTCTAAAAGCCCGGAGTGAGTCCCACAAGTTACCCGTGAACGAGTACCAATTGGCACACCTGCAGACTAATGTATATACTCGTTCAGTTTGATAACAAATTTTCGGGCTACGTCCTTCATTTTGTTATCAAATTGTTTGCAATAAAAAGGAGCGTATTTTAAAACTAGTCCCATAATAATAGAACATTAAATAAAATTTTAACAAATATTTTAACT